AAAGAGTGTTGAGCTACTGATGGGAAAATAAAATATCCCCAAAAATGAATGGGCTGGACGGTGATGGGAAGAGAGACACTGTCAACAGTACCATGAAAATCATTACACTCCTGCTCCATAAAGCCTCCCCACTGGTCTTATAACCTTTCTCATGGAACTTGCAGTCGAGGTCCTGCAAAACCCAGTGTTGCCTGTGGGCAGCTCTGAGGTGCCCCTCTGGCTGTGAGGAACTACAACAAAGACTCAAACTTTCCAGAAATCAGTGTTAACCTGTCTTTATAAATATATTGACTGTGGCTTGTTCAAACCATTTTACAAGCAGTACAGAACTAAAATAAACATTAAATGGCTGTTATATGCCCTGATAGAGAATCTAGCATGCATACCCCTGCATGTATAATGAAGCAGTAAGCATAGAACTAAGATAGGATGAACATGTAATAGTTAAACTATTCAACCCAGATCAACCCACAAAGCAAGAAACTAATTTTTTCCTATTTAATGTGAGGTACACTAGCTTTTTATCCATTTTTAATGGGAAGAGCTACAAAATTTCTCAGAAAAATAATACTGCAAAATATGACAAATTTTGCAGTTCCCACAGGAATTTAATGTTTTCTCTGAAAATCATCACCACATTGCTGACTTCTTTCAATCCATTGGAACCATTTTAGCTGGGACTAGTGCTGGAATCAGTGAATGTACTCATTGAAAGTATAGAGATACATTTTGCTTGCAATGGCCTTCCTGAAGGTAAAAGAGAACTGTGCAGGTCCTGGTTTGCAGGCTGAGGTGAAATGCAATGTGCCAAGATGCGATAATACACTTGCCTAAAGGAGTTACCTTGTGTTTTTGCAACAGGCTTTGAGCCACATCCAAGGACTTCCCACAGTTGGTGGAATGGGCAATAGGCAATCGCTCATGAATCCAGTTCAGTTCCATGTCATGATAATGGTAGAACTCATAGAGATCCACTGCAGCTTCCAGCAACTTACGCCTCTCATCAAGAGGTGCTTGCAAGGACTCAAACCTAGGGGTCATCCATTAAATATATGTTAAAACAAAGCTTTATCCTGATTCTGCCAAGGAAATTAGGCTATGATACCACTGTGAAGATTAGAAAACACTGGATACTTCTTTGCAATTAAATTTCAATGGTTAGTGCTGGCTGCACATACAAGAATTCCTTCTTCAGAAGGCTACTTTTGGCAATTAGACTTAAACAAGAATGCTAAATATAAGCAGAGGAAAAGTAATTTACACGTTTGAAGCCCTAGGCTTGTCCTGTGATGTTTTAAAGAATGAGTCACTATTGAATGCTGGATCACTGCACCTCTTAGAAAGCAGTGGAGGACCTATGGATAAGCAAAGGACTAGAGCAGGAGTGCAGCAGGTAAGGAGCAAGGTCCAGTGATAAAGGTTGAGGTGGGTCAACAGGCAGCTGTGTAGGTGCAGATGACAGCACAGTTGTGGTACAACTGGGAGGAGAAATCATTCCTGAATATGGGTTAAACCTAATCCACTGAAAGACATTTTCTAGAAGGTAGGAAAAAATGTTATTTGTCACAAGAGGTGGAGACAAAAAAAAAGTTGACACCTCACCTTTTCAGATATTTCTGTGTTTCATCCAGAATCCTCTGGGAATCAAAGTGATTGGTGGCCATTTTCCTTGCATGAGATACAATAGAGTTCATTTTCTCTGCCAGCTCACGTGTCTCATTTTCCAGCTGTCTGTGCTGCTTGAGTAGATCACGGCTGGAGCGCAAATCATGGCCTGTCTCAGATTCCTGAAGAACTTTCTCGATTTTCTCTATCTTCTTTTTGGCATCCTGCCAGTAAAAGATTACAGCACACTTGTACTGACTTTTCAACATAATTTTCTTTCACTCAGCCCCTCCCATGACAGCTTCCTGGACACAATTTTTAAATCTGTACGTACTTTCTTGGTAACATGGTGGCCAGGTGTCTCTAAGAGGCATCTCCTGTGAATACTTTGTTTTGCACACTATTTTGGAGTACTCTTCTCTCTGAGACCCTAAAGCACACCATTAAAAACAGTCTCTTTGAACTATCTTCAGTGAATTAATACAAAAACATCAAACAATCCTCAAAGGCTTCAAACTGTAGATACAACAGAACAGCTGTTCCATGACATACTGAAATTGAAACAGCTTCACAGCACGTTGTTCCTCTCATACATTCTGCCCAGATGACAGTGTGCTTAATACAGTGCCATGCCTCCAACCCCCAAACTGACTTCAAGCAATGTTTGCACAGCATTGACCCATGGAGAGAGTTTTGATTGTTTTTCTAGTGCAGGATGGCCACACAGGTGCAGCACTGAGCCTAAGTTCAACAGCTTTGTGTCTTGGTGCTGGCATTGTTACCCTGCTCATAGCTTTGGAGGGAGTTTGGTCACTGTTATATTGGGTTTTCTCTCCTGACACTGTCAACAAAATGGACCCCGTAAAATACACTTTTATCTCGGTGGTATTCTGCTCTTTTTTGTAAGGACCACACAACAGGGGAACCAGGATCCTAGGCCATTTCTCCCTGCTGTTCCCTATCACCTCCTGACCTGGAGCAGTTCCATGAGCTGTTCTTGCTGCCCAGCTTGTCTCAGCTTGTCACCTCGCTCTATCATCTTGCCATACAATTTCTTCCACTTCTTTTGAAGCTCTGACATCTTCTCCTGGATAGAAACTGCAGCATAATGGTTGTCTTGAATCAGTTGATTTCCTTTCTGGAGAAACAGAATATAATTTTTTTGAGCAGATCAGCATCTATGATGTTTGGGATAAGATGGAAGACTTAGCTCCAAAACTGCCTTCACCTTTATCAGTGTTGCAAAGTGCTCCTCATTAGCCATCATTTCCTTCTCAGCAGCTTCATGCCACTTCAGTTTGCGTAGAACATTTGTTGGATCACGGTAGGATTCATCTGATGCAATCTTGTACTTCTCTTCCATCCATATCAAAAGCTCAGCAGCATCACGATTAAAGTCCTTACAGAAACAAACAGGACTAAATTGATTTAACTTCTGATTCTACGTGGGTTTGCAGTGTATCCTTGCTGTAAAGATCAAGCCCTGATTATTTTTTTTTCTAACAGTTAGGAAACATGATGTATTTTCATATAAAAGTTGTTCTACATACTCAATACTTAATTGAAGAGGTATGATCTTAAACCACTGACAAGTTTTTAAGCCCTCAGAGTAATATCTCTTAGTCTCTTTTTTACTACATTTACCAATCTGTTACCTTTAACCGTGAGTGAAGGTTTGCATTTTTGAAAGACTATTTTAATCATAAGTGGTCCAATCCTTCAGTATAACTTTGTATCTCAGCATTGGAAGCTAAATTTGGTGCCAAAAGTACAGTTACCGTAAGAAACTGTGCCAAATTATTAAGGCCCAGAACAACCACAGGTAATGAGCAGAATATACTTATCCAGTAAACAAAGCATTCTGTTGATATTTTTTATTCAATATCTCCATTTTTGTTTTGGTATTTTGCTATGGTTATGGCTTTGCAAGATTTATCACTGGTGCATCACTTGCTCCCTGGGAAGTGAAATTCCCTGTCTCATAGCCAGAGAAAGTGTGCTGCAGTAGAAATGCTCAGCAGTTTGATATTTGTTCCATGTTAAGATGAAGGGTAAAATTACTTGACACATGCCTGACCAAATCTGCAGTTTCAGTCCTTTTACCTGCAGCTGTAGGGAATCCAATAACCTCTGTTTTCTCTTGGCATTGCTTTGTATCAGCCGCTCCCACCGTCGCCGGAGAGTGACCATTCTCTCTTCAATACTACCAAAAAAACCAGGAAGTACAATGCAGTACTTGTCATATCGGTTCCCCATGGCTGTACTGTAGTCATGACTATGATATAAATGGAATCTAGTTCAACACCTCTGTTCACAGGAAGAAGAGATATATGGCCCTATCCCATGACCATGCTGGGCTCATCTGGAAAGCAGCTACTGCTTGCCAGCTGCTCTGGATTTTCCTTTTGTATGGCTGTGTTATATTAGTGAATTGCAGTCATGTGTGTTTGACTAAAACACCCAGAGCTTTCTCTTTCCCAAATATTCCAGTTTAACTAATAATTTTCTCTGTGATGTAAGTGCAATGAGGCTCTGGAATGGCCTTCTAATGGTAGTAGTGCTGGCAAGAAATCAGACTTTAAGAGCAGTTTTATAAATTTGTGGAGGGAATTTTCAAGATGTTATCACCTGTGATTACAAGAACATGGTCTTTTTGACCCAAGAGGTCCATTCTGACCCTGTATCTCTAATTCTTGTTTATGCAAGGGTCCCCTTACTAGATCCGAGTGGCTCTAGCACAGTAAAGGAATTATATATGACAGTTAGCTTTGATAAAAACATGAAGGAGCTGCTCCTGATGAGTTACTTCCTTGTGAATTCTTCTGTAACTTTTTAACAGCAAATATTAATTCTGGTAAGTCATACCAATAAACAAAGGAAAAATTGTTTTGTGCAGGCATTTAATGACTTGACTTTAAAGAAGCTTTAACATTATATGTAATTTATGATACAAGGTGAATTATTCTAGCGTTCTGTCAAATGCCACTTTTAACCTAAAGCATTTCACTTATTTGTTCTAAGAGCACAGGAAATCTGTATTTTTTTGAAAAAATACCTTTTTTTCCCCTCATCCAGCAGATCACAGCTTGGAGGTCAACTAAACCCTAGTTCAGAGAAAGTTTTTTATCTTACCCTAATCACACTGAATCATTTTTTGAAGCTAAATGAAAAACGAAAGCGTTTGGACTCACACATGAGATGCAAAGTGCTTGCTTTCTATTAGGCTCACTCCATTTTCATTAAGTGCTTCAATTCGTCTCTTCAGTGCCATCAGCAGTTGTTCAAATTCCTGATGTTGCTTCAGCAGGCTTCGAACAGCATCTATGTGGTCCTGCATTTAAGAAAGAAAATTTGTTGTTGTTTCTGTAGCAATGAAAAAAAAATTTTGACCTTATTTTCCCCCTTCTCTTTCAGGCAGGAGATACAATATTCATTTTGGATGTGCCTAAGGATGTTCAGGGCTACAAACAAGCAGCAGGTGTTTAGATTTGTATCAAATCTTGTTCCTCTGCTCTATGTTTCCATTATGGTTTCATTTTCACCTTTTAAGAAAATCTGCATTCTGAATTTATGCCAGCACTCTGGCACATCTAGGGATATTCAGTATGAAAAGCCATAACTAAGTAAAACTTTATTCCACTTAGTTGACCCAAAAGTATCAAAGTTTCAGTTTCATCTGAAAACATAAAAGATGGTGAGATACCACAACCTCCTCCTTCACTGATCTTGTGAATATTGCCTGCATTTGTTTTTTCCCTTCATTTGCATTAATGTTCTTAAAATACTCGATGAAAAGAAAAAGCCTTATTTTTTTAAATGTAAGGTTTTTACTTCACCCCAAAAAATATTAATTATGTCCAAGCAGAAACCTTTTTTTTAATGGCTAGCCACCCAACAGATGAGTCAATTGTATATAAACCATCTGACATATACAAACACAGCAACAAATCACAACTCCAGCTGTTTTAAATTTTTTTTTGAGAGACAATGAGCTTTGTTGTCATTAAGATGAGTAAGAGCATAAGAACATTAATAAGAACCTGAAAGTCTAGTTTCCAAGTATTAAAATGCCATGACCATAAAAATGAAGAAACTGTTCTAATTAAGAAAATTGTTGCTACTCCCTGGATGGGGAGACACTGTAGGAGAAAACAAAATCACGCTGCACATACCCCAAGGTCATCCCCCCGGAGAAAGGCCTCATGGCCGGAGAGGGCTGCATTGATACAGTCTCCCTCCCTATTGAACTTCTGCAATTCCAAGCCATCCTGCAGCTTTTTCCGTCGCTGTTCCCACATTTTCTCCAGCTCTTTCTTCTCCTCAGCAAGCCTCTGCATGGACTGATGGACATCTATGGTCCTGCTGTTACTGGGTTGTTCACGGATTACTTTGCGCCCTAGCTCTTCCAGCTGCACAAATCTTCCCAGAGTCAAAAAGAAAAGTGAGACCTCACTGCATGAGGGAATATGAATTCTGTTTCATCACAGTTCTTTGCTCTTTTGGCAGTGCCTAGACATTAAGCTTCCCTCCCTCCCTTTCACTCTTTTCCTGCTAGCCATGGTTTTGCACTACAAAGTCCAGCTGATTCTTTGCTCAGGGATACAGGCTGGAGGCAGCAGGTGAGATTTCCCCATTTGGATTGAAAGCCCATATAAGCAGTCTTTCCCATTGAAGGGGACAGGAGGGCCAACTCAGTATCTGGAACTTCATAACAATGCAGAGGGAGATCTGAAGACGATGGCAACTGGAAGCATAAGGCCTGAGAAGGGAAGGACTGGGGGGAACTGAAATAAAGTGCAGATGGCACCATATGACTGTCAGGAGCGCTTGTGGAATACTACAAACATACAGCTCCTTCTTCCCCTTCTGTCAGCCATCAGGATAAGTATGCAACAGCTAACTGGATTTTGTGTTCAGCAGTCTCTTTTTGACACTAAGTTTGAAGATCATTTGAATAAACGCTTGGCATCACTTTCATACGTAACTTATGTACATGATAGACATGTTTGATCTTCACAGTATTGTTGTCATATCACCTCACTCTGCCCACACTGACAAAATCTCTGTACCTTTCTTTCTGAGATCTAAATTCTTTCAGCAGGTCCTGATGCTCCTTCAGCAATTGCTCTGCAGAAGCCACGTCCACACCCATTTCTTCACTGCTTAGTTTCTCCTGAATGCCTTCTGCCCACAGCAGAAGCCTGCGGCTGTCTTGCAGGAAGGACTGTTGATTTTGGGCCCACTGCAGAATGTCCTGTTTCTTTTGGGTCTCCAGCTTGAGCTTTGCCAGAAGCCTCTCCATGTTGTCCACCTGTTCAGTGATGGCCCTGCTCTCTGCAGGGTTGGTGTCCTTAATCCTACAAGAGGAAATAAAATACATTCAATTCAATGAACACTTCAGGCATTTAGAGCTTGAACCAATATTCTTTGATGGTTGTACTTGACGATCTTAAAGGTCTTTTCCAACCTTAATGATTCTGTGATTCTATGAATGGATTTGGATATTTACACTTCTATTAAAAAAGGAAGTCAGCTAAGGCAAGAAATGCTCCCCACTAGCAAGAAATATTGGTGTGAACATGATGTACTGCAGAAAGTGCATCCCTGTGAAAGATTCTGGTAATGCTGTTGTGGCTCAATGATTCATTCCCATTGTGAATGTACAGAAAACTTAAAGAAGTAAAAAACTTTAAATTCATATTTCAAATTCAAACTCCTGTGCACAGTTCTCTGCTATGTTCTTCTTTCATCATTGCTTCCCCTGATTACCCTCTTTCAGGACCTAAATGATACCTAGTCCAAAATGTGGAAGTAGCTCCTGTTAGAAGAGATAATTTATTAGAGCCACAAATAATCCTGTGGTGCTTATCCTCCTACAACAGTGAAGTCTGGGAGCAATCACTTCACCAGTCACCCAGCCATACCCAAGAGAGATGATCTCAATCCAGCAGGCAAGTCAGTTCTTCAGGTTGCTAGAAAGAGAGACTTCAAGAGAAACTTCACAAGCTGCTCATTCTTTTTATAGACATAATTTACAACATGATCTTAGAGAGCTAGCAAATAATATAGAAACAAAGAGCAGGTTCCTTACGATTTTGCAACAGTCCTCAAGTATTCAATTTTCCTCTCTATCACCAGGACCTCTCTCTCAACTGTAGACAGTTTGCGCCTGTCTGACTCCAGCCCAGCAGGTGAGTTCCCTGGTTCCAGATCCCCAAGTTGGACCATCTTGTCTTGCAATAGTACTCCTATGCTCTGACAGTCCTGAAGAAATGTCCTCACATCAGCCACTCCAATCAGCTCAGAGCCCTTCTCCTCCTTCAGAGTTTCCATGCGTTCCCACCTTGAAGAGAGATGACCTGGTTACTTGCATCTAGCCTCAGCCACTACCCCAAAACTTGCCTTCACCTAGGAGGCAGATTCAGTTTATAGCCTTTGTTATACACGAGCTATATCCTTTTCCTATTCAGAAAAACTCTTGTATAAAGATTTCACCAGGACTTAAGTGGGCCGAGGGGGTTAACACTAGCACTCCCCAACAACCTCAAAGTTCATCTCGGTGCCATCTCAAGCAAGGGTATCCCGCTCAGGTGACCTGAACACACTGGATACAATGCAAATAAACAACAGTGGTCAAAATCAGGACGCAGCTGTGCCTCTCAGTTACAGCTGGGTGGCATGGTGCCAGGAGTAGGTACACAACAGGTGCTAAACATAACTGGTGAAGTCAAACAGGGTTTGATGTTCCTTTCACTATTTGTGAAAGGCACCCTCACCCTGATGTTTAGGTAACCAAACCAGCTGCTGTGGTGCAGTACAGACAGAACTGAATCCATTGCTGTCACCTGTGGTGGGTGGATTCACGTTGTGCTTTAACACCCCCCCCACCCC